CTCGCAATTCTATTCTGAAAGAGACAAAACACATAGCATTTTCATGGAAATGGTCAGAATAAGTCTATGACACTTGCCTGTGAACTTTTTTTGGCCACACACGCGCCAAACACGTGTTCTGGATTGAGTTCATTCAATTGTTCATGCTTGAATTTTGATTTTTTTTTCTTCAATCCATCAGGAAATGAAGCCATTCAAAGTTGTTTCTGGTCGATGCAGAAGGCGCAAGTCAAAGTCTGCAAAGGTTGAAGTCAAGCAAGAGCTGGTGATTAAAGAAGAGCCCAATGACGGTGACGATGTCATGAACATACCACGGCCGACAGTTGATGGAAGATATCGTGTGAAATACGAAGGGCCGATTGACTTTGCCCGTGACTTCGATCAGATTAAAGATGAAATCAAATGTGAAGAAGAAGAGACGAGCAAAGAAAAGGACTCGACACCATGTGAACGATCGAATGACAACGACGCCAACTATGATGACAACGAAGACCCCATGGATGACGCAATCGATGTTCAACAGCCGGAATCAGTTGGCAGCGGGAAGAAACGGAATGAAGGCGCCAAAAGACGAAACAAACGAACAATTCCCGGGAATCAAGCGACCAAAAAGCAAAAGAAGCACAAATGCCATGTGTGCAATCATTTGGCAAGCGACAAGTATCACCTCAAAAGACACTTGCGAATTCACACTGGAGAAAAGCCATTTCAGTGTGACGTTTGCTCGAAATTCTTTACACGAAAGGTGATCTGAAGCGTCATAAGAAAACGCATGGCCAATTTCGTTGTTCCAAATGTAATCAAGGATTTGAGCATGAATCAGATAAGATCGATCATGAAAGATTATGCGATCCTCAGCAATTCGAATGCGATAATTGCGGATATCACATTAGGATGAAATCACATTTGACGGTTCATATGCGAATTCACAGCGGAGCAAAGCCATTCGAGTGCGCAATCTGTTCCAAGTCGTTTACAATCACCTCTGATCTTCATAAACATTCGATTACTCACAAAGATGAACTGCCAAATGCTTGTTCGAATTGTGGTCAACGATTCGCCACTCCGAAAGATAAGCAAACACACGAAACGCGCTGCCAACGAGGTCTTTATGCATGCAATCAGTGTCATTACAAAACTGTTCACAAGGGCGATTTGAAGCGGCACCTGCAATCAAAACACGGAGCCAAAAGATCGATCGAATGTGAAATTTGCAAAAAGAAGTTCGTCCAACAGATTTATTTAAATCAGCATTTGTCATCAACACACAGCGACCAGTTCCTATTCCAATGCTCCAAGTGCTTTGGAGGATACGCAACCGAAGGTGTAAAAGATCTTCATGAAGATAGCTGTGGCCACCGTCAGTATCAATGCCATTTGTGCAAAGAATATGGTCGAGACAAACAAGATTTGAAGATTCACATGCGAAAAGATACACCGGAGAGCGGATTCGATGCAAAGTTTGTGCGGCAAGCTTTACCAAGAAAAGTAATGCCAATCGACACATGAAGACAGTTCACCGTTTGAAGAAGAAATAAGTCACGCATCTCTTGGATTCATAAACGTAGCTAAGCTAAAAACTAATAATAAACTTTCATGACACAAAACAATTCACTCATAGAAGACAATCACATCAAGCATTTCAATAGTTATAACGAGCATGCTTCCGAAATTGAAATAACATTTAATATTTTCCCACATCAAAAATTATATTTTTCGCTTGAGATTTAAGGACCCCTTTTGATTGAAACTGAACAGAACATGAATACATACTACAATACATAAATATTCATACGGTTATGAATACATAACCGTTTGAAGCTGCACGTGCAATCAAAACACGGAGCAAAACGATCGATCAAATGTGGAATTTGCAGCAAACAATTCGTGAAACAGATAAGATTGATTCAACATTTGTCTACAGCGCACAGCGGCCACTTCCCGCTCCAATGCTCGAAGTGCTTCGGAGGATACGTAACCGAAGATGCAAAAGAGTTTCATGAAGACAGCTGTGGCTGGCGTCAGTATCAATGCCATTCGTGCAACGAGCGTTGTCGTTCCAAACAAAAGTTGAAGATTCACATGCGAAAAGATCACACTGGAGAGCGAATTCAATGCGAAGTGTGCTCAGCATGCTTTACCCACAAGGGCAATGCCAATCAACACATGAAGGCAGTTCACCGTTTGAAGAAGAAATAAGTCACAAATTCTAGAGATTTATTAAAACGTAGTAGCTTAAAACGTAGCTTAAAACTAATAATAAACTTTCATGACACTTACAAAATAATTCACACATGAAATAACAATCATATCAAGCATTTGAATAGTAATAACGAGCATGCACCTGAAATTGAAATAACATTTAATATTTTCCAAAATGAAAATGCATAGTTATCGCTTGAGATTTAAGCTCCCATTTTGATCGAAATAGAACAAAACATGAATACATATTGAAACCGGAATAAAAAGAAAAAAACGGGTGAAGAGTGTTGCGTTTAATTTCTGAGTTCATTTTTGCAGCGATTTTCTTCTCCAACGAAAGAAACAAATGGTTCCGGGAATATGTGTTATCTTGTCTAGATCTGCATTCGAATCGGGTTTGTATATTTTCATTACGAAGTCTCAGCTTCAAAATATGTCGTCCATCTCATTATCCGAATGCTCTATTTCAATTGATTTCTCATTACTTGTCCATTTGCTCAATTCATTGCCAACACTTAACCAATAAATGTCACACTTCAGACTTCAGATATTTTCGATTACAAAAAAAAAACATGCTCTTCTAATGCGACTCTTCTTCAATTCATGGATTGGATAACAACAATAGATCGATTAACGAATGACTTAGAGTAGTGATATGCGATTGCAGTTGTTTATAGAAATACAAAAACATAATGAATTCAATCTCGTCAGCCATAATCCGGTTTCGATTCTTCAGATAAATCCTAAACTAAATCGATATCCGATTGTGATTAATAAGCACATGTACCGCGAATTGTTTTGTTTTCATCTTGAATCGTATGCATTTGTTGCGCCAGAAATTAAAATAGTATTCTGCGATACTAATTTGTTTACACTTCGACATAAACACAACTAAATGTTTCCATCATTCAAATTTCATGCACCACAATGTTCTTCGTTCCCAATGGAATTGCTTTCCAATAGAGATGAAGTGTCACTTTGCGTCGTTGAGAACTTAACGAAACTCACTACCACAAATAGCACGCTTGCAAGTGTGTGAAAATCAGCTTCGATGCTGTGGTTTACGTTGTACGTTGTTCTAGATTGTTCCATCGACCACCGAGTGAAGCAGACATCTTGAGAGATACGTGAAAGAAATATTTTCCAGAGAGAAAAGGCGACGACAAACGTGAGTGTCGGATATTTTTCATTTTTTATTCATTTGGATGTCATTTTTTGAGTATACAAATTTTGTGATTTGATCGAAAAAGTGAAAAATCATGAAAATCAATAAATGTTCACAAAAATTGGTAACACATAACCCAACTTTCAAGTGAAGAAGCTATGTGTACATTCCATGTGTACCTTTCCTTTGCATAGACCAGTCAAGCACGAATAGTTTACATTTGGTTGAATCAGTTCTCATTATTGATTTTTCATTTTTTTCCCGAATCCAACAGGAAATGAACCCATTTAAAGGTGTTTCTGGTAGACGCTGCAAGCGTAAACCAAAGTCCGAAATGATTGAAGTCAAGCAAGAGCCTGGTATTAAGGAAGAGCCGCGTGATGATGGCGTCATGAATATACCACAGCCTCGAATTGATGGAAGATATCGTGTGAATTACGAAGGATCGGTCGACTTTGGCGATGACTTCGATCAGATTAAAGATGAAATCAAATGCGAAAATAAAGAGGCGGGCAAAGAAAAGGACTCGACACCATGTGAACGATTGAATGATGGCGCGGCCAACGCTGATGACAACGAACTATCCATGGGTGATGCAATCGACATTCAACCTCCGCATCCAGTCGACAACGAAAAGACAAGGAATGGAAGCTCCAAACGACGAGACAAACGATCGATTTCCAGGAATCAAGTGGCCAAAAAGCAAAAGAAGCACAAATGCCATGTGTGCAATTATTTGGCAAATGACAACTATGCACTCAAACTACATTTGCGAATTCACACTGGAGAAAAGCCGTATCAGTGTGACGTTTGTTCGAAATCCTTTGCACGCAAAAGTCATCTAAATCGTCATAAGAAAACGCATGGCCCAAAGCCTCAGTTCCGTTGTTCGAAATGTAATCAAGGATTTGATCAAGAATCAGACAAGATCGATCATGAAAGGTTCTGTAGTCCTCAGCAATTCGAATGCGACACTTGCGGATATAGAACAATCAACAAATCAGATTTGACAAAGCATATGCGGAACACACCGGGGAAAAGCCGTTCGAGTGCTCAATCTGTTTCAAGTCGTATACAAGCAACGCTTATCTTCAAAAACATTCAATGGCGCACAAAGAAGAACTCCCGAATGCTTGTTCGAAATGTGGTCGACGATTCGCCACTCCAGACGATAAGCAATCACACGAAACGCGCTGCCAACGAAGTCCATTTGCATGTAATCAATGTCATTACAAAACTGTTCGCAAGGATAATTTGAAGCGGCACATGCAATTAAAACACGGAGCCAAAAGATCGATCGAATGTGAAATTTGCAGCAAACAATTCGTCCAACAGATTCATTTAAATCAGCATTTGTCATCAGCACATGGTGATCAGTTCCCATTCCAATGCTCCAAGTGCTTCGGAGGATACGCAGGCGAAGATGCAAAAGAAGCTCATGAAGACAGCTGTGGCTACCGTCAGTATCAATGTCATTTATGCAAAGAGCATCGTAGTAACAAACAATGTTCGAATATTCACATGCGAAAAGATCACACCGGAGAGCGGATTCGATGCAAAGTGTGTGCAGCCAGTTTTGCCAGTAAAAGTGCTGCCAATCTACACATGAAGGCAGTTCACCGTTTAAAGATGTGATAAATAATCCATTCCATAGATTGACTGAAACTCAGTTCACTATGACATCAATATTTCATGATTTCTACAAATAAACAGCTTGTTACACACTTAGAAGCCTTTCTCACCAAGAATTTGAATCGTAATAATGGGCATGCATTCAAATTTGTAATAACATTCAATGTTTTCATACATACATAGCCATTGCTTTAGATTTAAGCTCTCATTTTGATCAGAAATATATTGGGACCCGAATAAAAAGAAAAAAAGAAGGAAAATGTTGCTTTTCATTTCTTAGTTTATTTTGCAGCAATTATCTTGCCTACTGAAACAAATGGCGTTGGGAAATGGGTTTGATTTGACAAAATCAACTCTGCATTCGAATCGGATTCGTACATTTTTATTACAAAGTCAGCTTCAAGGTATGTCGTTCATAATTCTCATTATTTAGATTCTCGATTTGTACTAATTTCGAATTGTTCGTCCATTTGCTCAATTCTCTGGATACACT